TTTAGTTTGAATTTTTCATCTTATATATACACACACACACACACACACACACACATTTCAACGAACAATGTTTTGAATAGTTTTAGTTTAAGTTAACGATAATAAACCCTGCTGCCATCCAGTAATCACAATAAGCTTTGCTGCTTTGCTGCTTTTGATTTGAAACAAAATATAAATATCAGCTTTCAAATTCTGTCAATTTCAAATGAAAGTTTATTTATAAAGCACTTTAAAAACCACAAAGTGTACCAAAATGTTGTACAATTTTACAAATAAAATAAAAATAGAATACTGTGAGATGATTACGAAATTAATTTATGACTGATTGAGCGATTACATGAGACAGGATACGGATTTCTGTAAGTTGTGCTCTTTCTTTTAACGTACCTTCAGATGTTCATTTATGTTTATTTCATGCTGTAACTGCTTTTAAAGCGGAGGAGACGATCAGTTCACAGTGATCTGTCACTCCACATTAAACGGCTCCAAAAGGGCATTTATTATTTGAATGTTGTAATAAAATTGTAAGAATTTGAAACAGAGACTTTGTTTCAAATCAAAAGTAACCAATCACAAAGCTTATTGTGATTTATTGGATGGGAGGCGCACTACAATGTTATGTGCATTAACTTAAAACAGGCTAGACTAATCGATCCTTGGGATTTATGAATCAGTATCGTTTTGTAAAAATGAGAATTGATTAAAATCGAGAAATCAGTATTTTTTACTCAGCCCTGGTGATCATGTTCCTCACACTCATGTGGTGCGACATTACTGTTGGATCCAATATAGTCACACAGCATCGTCTTTTAGTTTAAATCTTTCTGAAAATCCTGTGTTGAATTGTGCCTTGTTTGTAAACGAATCCGCGGTAAAATGAAGTGAACAAAGGACCAAGTTCTTGCTGACACGCTCTGGATCGGAAACAGGCGTTGATCTTCTGTGAAGGCGGAGTTTAGCCACACTATTACGTCATAGAGTGGCACATTCCACAACCTGTCATTTTGGCAGACTGGCTTCAATATAAGCTGATTTTAGACTAACGAGAAAGTTTTGAGTTCTGAAACTTTCAGGATGTTTTTATAGTACAAGGAGCTCTTATATGTCAAGGGAAGTTTGATTTCTCAGTTCATGACGTTTTTAAAATACAGCCATCCTCATTACTGTAGAAAGATTATAGAGATCCTGTAGCTCAAACTGTATAAAATCATCTGACAAATACATAAATATAAATGTGTGGATCTGGTTTTGTGATTCCTCTTTCCTTTGGGAAATGACCTGGATTCCCTGGACAGATATTTGCTGCTGCTGCTTGATGCAGTGATGAAGTAGTTTTCATTTGTTTTAGTGTTTATTGAAGCATGAATATGTTTTGATCCTCTGGCTGCATTTCATTTGCATTTATTTATTTATTGATTTAGCAGATGCTTTTGCCCAAAGTGACTTATAATTGAGAATAAAACAGACAGAAGTGATTCATCTAAACTCTGGATCATCACTGGATGAATTGCATTAAATACGCAGGCAGGCAGTTTGACGTTTATTTGGTCTGTAAATGAACCATTATGTTCATTGTAGTCTCACTCTATAATGTTGACCAATAACTCTGGTTTGTTTCTAAATGTGAGACATTCAGAGCATTAAAGGGGTCATATGATGCGATTTCAAGTTTTCCTTTCTCTTTGGAGTGTTACAAGCTGTTCGTGAATAGATAAGATCCCTAAAGTTGCAAAGACTAAAGTCTCAAACCCAAAGAGATATTCTTTATAAAAGTTAAGACTGGTCCACGCCCTCCTAAAACGCCTGGACAGGGCATCATCACAGTATGGTGAGGGGCGTAACATTTCCGTCTCACGCTTGAGGTATTCGGCCAATCACAACGCACTGGATAGCTGGCCAATCAGAGCACACCTCGCTTTTCAGACCGATGAGCTTTGTAAAAATAGACGCGTTTCAGAAGGCGGGGCATAGAGGACAAACAATAATGTACAGTATGTGGAAAACAATATGTTTTTTTAACCTGAAACCGCATAAACATTTCGTTACACCAAATACACAAAATAATGTTCTTTTTAGCAACATCATATGACCCCTTTAAAGCTCACGGTCACTTCAGTCTCATTACAGCCGCTCACATCAGATGTCATTCTGAACATATTCAAACATATGCAAAACATATTCAGGCCTGAATTTAAGATTTATGGATTTAAATTGGATACCCTATATAATCCTTGCTTTTGGATTACACTGTTTTAATATTAACTAAAATCTAATAATGTATTTGTCAGTCATAAATGAAACGGTCAGATTTCTGCACTCAGAAATTCATGGCATAATTTAGAGACACGCAACATGCAGACTTCATATTTAAATAGCAACTATACAGCCACTAGTCCATATAGCAATTTCATTAAGTGTACAGCACTACTTTTGATTTATTCATCCAAGATTTGACATTCCGCATTATAGTGTAAATTCCATTTTCATGACTAGATTCATGACGCATTTTCCACATCGCAGAAATCATACAGACCTAAAATTATTTCTCGGACCCCACTTTCAGAACCCGTTCTAGAGCAACGTTTGCAGTAGTTTTTCTCGATCAGAAGCTTTCGCTCTGATCTCCAGAGCTGTTTGAGGCAGGCTGGGATGTTAAATGGATGTTACACTAGTGATGAGTGTGTTGTGGTGATTTTGAGCGGCGTTAAGCATTATTAGTTGATCTGAGTCCCAGCAACAGGAAATAATAGCGTCCCGTTCGTCTGAACACTTGAGTGTGTGAGTCACACGTCACTTCAGCAGGACCTGAGAACATCTACAGCTCCATCAATCATCAGTCACCACAAACACTCACAAAAACAAGCCATCTTCTCTTTGGGAGTTAAAGTTAGATCCATAGACACAGGAACACACCTCTGTGCAGGCATTATATTTATGACCATTTATGAGGATCTGCTTTTGATATTCCCTCTTCTGGTCAATAATTTTTCATACGTTTTATTCCTGCTTCTGGTCAGATGGGATACTTTCTCCCTTTCCGTCATTATAAGGTCATGCAAGTTTATAATCTGATTATCTATAGTCGCTGCCGCCACACTTGTATAAAATCTAAATATAATGTTTTATGAAACATTTTTAGTTAATTAAATTTTAGAACTTAAACTTAATATTTTAATAAATTATTAAATTAATTAAGTTTTTTTATCCAATATTTATATTTTATTTTTCACTTATTTCAATAATCAAAAAAAGTTTTTGTTAAAGGGGTCATATGATGCTGCTAAAAAGAACATTATTTTGTGTATTTGGTGTAATGAAATGTGTTTATGCAGTTTAAGGTTACACCAGTAATTTACCAGTGGAAATATTTATTACTAATGTTTTACAGATTTTACTACCTTAATACATCACGGTGCCTGTAAATTGCATTTATAATAAGAAAGCGAAACACTTCCTTTGAATTTCATGCCGTCACAGTCACACTCCCTGTAAAAATCCACATTGTAGTTATTTATCGCCCTCAAGGTCAGCTGGGCAACTTTCTAGAAGAACTGGATATGCTGCTGTCCTCATTCCACTGGGGTTCCTCAGGGATCTGTTCTAGGGCCCCTCCTCTTCTCTATATACACTCCATCACTGGGACCCATCATTCAGGCACATGGTTTCTCCTACCATTGCTATGCTGATGACACACAGCTCTACCTCTCATTTCAACCAGATGGTCCAATGGTGCCTGCTCGAATCTCAGACTTTCTGATGGACATCTCAGCATGGATGAAAGAACATCACCTGCAGCTCAACCTGGCAAAGAAAGATCTTCCCAGCCTCCCCATCAGTACAGCACCAGTTTACCATCCAACTGGGCTCATCAATGATAATCCCATCGTGTTCAGCCAGGAATCTTGGGGTGATCCTCGATGTTCAGCTGACCTTTATAGATCACAATGCAAAAACAGCACGATCATGCAGGGTTGCACTACACAACATCAGGGAGATCAGACCCTTCCTAACAGAGCATGCAACACAGCTTCTCATCCAGGCCCTTGTCATTTCTAGGTGGACTATTGCAATGCTCTTCTGGCTGGACTTCCAACATGTGCAATCAGACCTCTGCAAATGATTCAGAATGCAGCAGCATGTCTTGTTTCCAATGAGCCCAAGAGAACCCATGACACACCGCTTCTCATCTCTCTGCACTGGCTTCCAGTCGCGGCTCGCATCAAGTTCAAGACAATGGTGCTTGCCTACAGAACAGCCACGGGCTCACACCCTCCTACCTCTGCTCTCTCCTATGCGTCTGCATCCCCTCCAGAAGCCTTTGGTCGGTAAACAAGCGGCAGCTCGTGGTCCCATCGCAGAGAGGCACAAAACCACTGTCTTTTACTGCACCCTGTTGGTGGAATGACCTACATAACTCCATCCGGACAGCCGAATCCCTCACAATCTTCAAGAAACAACTCAAAACTCATCTCTTCCGTGAGCATCTAGCTGCCTCCAATAAGAATAATAATAATTGAAAAAATAATAATTCTATGCCTTCACTTTTTCTATTCTCTTATTATCCTCCTGTCCCGCAGAGAGGCACAAAACCACTGTCTTTTACCGCACCCTGTTGGTGGAATGACCTACATAACTCCATCCGGACAGCTGAATCCCTCACAATCTTCAAGAAACAACTCAAAACTCATCTCTTCCGTGAGCATCTAGCTGCCTCCAATAATAATAATAATAATTGAAAAAATAATAATTCTATGCCTTCACTTTTTCTATTCTCTTATTATCCTCCTGTCCCAGCTTTTACTATTTTGCATGATGACTGAAACCTTGTATAGCGGGCATTACTCATGTTTATTGCCACCTTATGATTGTTGTATTCCTCAACTGTAAGTCGTTTTGGATAAAAGCATCTGCCAAATGAATAAATGTAATGTAAATGTAAATAAATGTATAGTCTTAAGTTAATTGTTAATTGAGTTAATTCATTAAATTGTAGAACTCTGACTTAATGTATAAATATTAGATGAAAAACTTGGAAAAAAATGTGAAATGCTGCCTTGCCAACTAATTGTTTTTACTGTTCATTTTAAGGGAATTACATTGTATTTCTACATTAAATTGATGACATTCTCGATGAAATATATACCCTTTTGTTTTGTTTGTTTTTTACCAAACTACACACACTCACTCACACACTCTCTCACACTCTCTCACACACACACACACACACACACACACACACACAC